CTCATGAGAAAATGGAGCATCCTTGAAGTTCAATACATATCCTTCTGAATAAAGTAAAATTTGGTAAGTGCAAAAATAAATTCATATTTGTTGTCAGAATTGGTTATTAAGATTCATTTGTTTTCCTGTAAGACTACATGTAGTTCATAAGCATGTTCCCCACTTTCTTTGTCCTCCTGGACAGTACTACCACAAAGAGAGCTTGAGGCATTCCCCAAAACGTGACTCTTGGTTTTACTTTTCTTACAACCTGTTTCTTTCAGTGTCAAGGATTAATTTGTAATTCCAGAGCTTTGGAATTTGCCAAATAAGTCTGTGATTCTTATTTATTATTTCCCATCAGGATCATCAGCCCCATTACCAAGCTCTTGCTTCTCTTTGGTCACTTTTATGTAGAGGAAGCCAAATTTATAATCCATGGTGAATCTTGACGAGGTCAATCAATTCAGAGTGGCTGATGAAAGAAAATGGCTTCTTGCAGTGTCTTTATAACAGATTGAAGACCTTGGTAAACTGGAGGAATTAATCACCAACCAAAACTGAGTCTGAGAAAACTGAGGAGGCAGCCATCATTGACCAGAATGAACTGTTTCTGTGTGCAAACAACATAAATTTTGTGACTTGACATTTCTCTAAGGAATTGCTTTTTCTGCGATTTTCCTTTGAAACTTGTGGTATCCTGTGGAAATCAAGAAAAATATTCTGTATCCTAAGAGAGCTTGGTTCTCCTGACACCAAAGTTAATTCATTGATTTAATCTACATTTATCAGTTTATTGGGTTATCAGTTCAGGTCTTTTAGTATGTATTGAAGACCCAGACATGAATGAGATGTATTCTTGCCTTTAGGGAGCTTTCAGTTCACTTTCAGACATGGACATATATATAAGAGGCTGTACAACATAGAAAGGTCCTTAATAAAAATTTGAATTAAGTGCTGTGGGATCCCATGTGAGAGAGTAACTTTGCTTAGGAAAGCTGAAGAAGCTTTCATATAAAAAAGCAAAATTTGAGCGAGCTCTGGAAGAATGAACAGAGATTTTTCAAATAGAGAAGATTAGAAGAAAAGCATTCTAGGCAGAGGAAGTAGCATGTGCAAAGACTTAGAAGCATGAAAGGGCCTCGTGGTTTCTGGGAATAGCAAAAAGTTCAATGAGGCTGAAACCATAGAGTACAAAGAGAATAGATCAGGCTAGAGAAGTAGGGTGTGTACATTATCTATTGCTGCATGACAAACCACTCAGAATGTAATGGCTTAAAGCAACAGTCATTTTATTTGCTCATGATTTGATGGGTTAGCATTTTGGGTTGAGCTCAGCTGAGTGCTTCCTCTGCTGGTTTTACTCGGGGTACTCATGCAGGTGCAGTCATCTGGATATTCGATGGAGACAGCCTGTCCACATATTCCCATCATCTAACCGGACTTCCTCACATGGCAACAAGGAAGCTGTAAGATGAAAGCAGAACTCCTTGAGGCCTTGGCTTGGAATTCACATTGTACTTCTGCCGTATCCTGTTAGTCAAAATAACTCACATGGCCAGCCCATATTCTAGGGGTGGGAAAATAGATTCCATCTCTTCTGAGAGGAGCAGCAAAGTCACATTGCCAAGGGGTGTGTGGACACAGAAGGGGATTCTTGTAGCTGTCATTGCAGTGTACCACAGGGTAAAAGCAGATTGGGAAGACTTGCATACAATTTAGCCTAAGGGCAACAAGAAGCTATCAGAGGTTTGTTTTTTGTTTTTTGTTTAAAGCACTAAGGTGTAAAATAAGATTTCCTGCTCAGTGCCCCTTATTTAGGAACCATTTCTCTCCTACAATCCACATGTTTATTGAATAAGCCATTAATACTATGGATCACCTTTTGGCAAGCTGTTTGGATCAGAAATGGTTCAATCAGAATCCTTCATTTTTCCTCCAGAAAATGAGAGTCGATCTCTTGCCAATACTTGAAGCTTTAAGATGTAAATCTTGGGGAGTACAAAATGGCTGTGTTTGCAGCTACAGGAAAAAAGCCAGTTTGCACAGAGAAGCAGAGGTGAGAGATAGAATGAGTCCTCATGCCCTTGGAGGCCACTATTTCTGACATCCCTCTTTGCCTAGGTTTATTCAACTTTGGTCTATCTCTTGCAACCAAAGGAGTCCCAACTAATACAAAGGTTAACACCTATAAGTAGGAAGTTGCAAATAATAACATAAAAACCCAAAGCCAGCTGAGTTTGAATGTAATGGTTATTGGGAAATTATTTTTACAAGTTATTGCTGGTATACTAAAAAGGTGTTCTTATATTTTGTACACATCTAACCTCCCATTTCTGATAGTTTTTCAGCTTAATCTCTGAGTTTCCTAGACCAACAATCAGTTTATCAGAAAACAATTATATTTTGTCTTTTTCCTTTCCTTTCCTGTATATATACATATTGTGTATATGTATGTAGAATATTTTTCTTGTCTTACCTAGTTGCTAGAACTTCTAGAACAATGTTATATAATAACTATGATATTCAGCATGCTCATTCTGTTCCTGACTTTATAAGAAAGATTCTAAAGTTTTCATTGTGGGTATAATTTTTATAGTTCTTGTCTCTAAAATACTCTTCATCATAGTAAAAGGATTCTTTTCTTCCAATCTGCACTTAATTTGAATTTTTAAAAATTTGAAATAGATATCACATTTTAAAAAATAATTTTTCGGTATCTATCAAGTTCATATTACTTTTCTCCTTAATGTATGAATGTCAATTATATTAAAATATTTATTAAGATTGAATTATCCTTACACTCTGCAATAATCCCCACTTGTTTTGATGTAGTATTGCTTTACTGCAGTCCTACATTTGATTTAATAATATAGGCAGTCCGGAGGGCGGGAGGTGTCGGTGAAGGGCCATAATAATCATATACATTGTATATTGACAAAATAAAAATTAAAAAAAATAAAAAAAATAAAAAAAAATAAAAAAAAATAAAAAAAAAATAATAATATAGGCAGTCCTTGTCTTATGAGGTAGCATGTTAACTGGAACTGTGTATCAGAGCCAGGACCTTGCTTTGCATGGTACTAATGTGGATACATTTAACATTGTAATATGCAGAATGAAAATTGCCTGCATATTACTTAGGGAAACTTACATTTATATTTATATACTTTGTTTTTTGGTGTAACGTATCAGTCAGATTTGGGTTAGAAAAAAATGAAGAACCTTTTTTTTTCTATGCCTGAAACTGTTTAAATACAACAGAAAAGCTGAACTGACTCCATAAAGCCATCTCTTTAGGAACAGAATACATCTTTGACAATCATTTCACTCTTCTCTTGTGTGGGGTTGTTCAGATCTTTTACCCCTTATTGAACTAGCTTTGGTAATTCATATTTTGCTAGAAAATTGTTTGGTTTATCTAGATTTTCAAATTAATATGCATAAAGTATGTGGATATGATATTCTTTCATATTTTTTACTCTTTTCATTTTCTGCAGTTATAGTCTTCCTTATTCCTAATATTGTTTGTTTTTGGTGGCTGGCCAATATAATTCAGGGATCTGAACCTTTGATCTTGGTGTTACAAGGCGGTGTTCTAACAAACTGAACTATCTCCCTAATATTTTTTAAATGTATACTTCCTTTCCTCCTTTTTCTCTCTCTGCCTTTCCGTCAGACCTGCTAGAAGTTTGTCAACTTCATAGGTCTTTTCAAAAATTACATATTTTCATTTTTTATTTATCCCAATCTGTATCTTTTCTATTTCATTAATTTATATTTTTATTGATTTACTCTACTATTTTTGAATTTGGTTTACATTTTCTAGCTTTTTGAGTTGCATAATCAGTTTGCTTATTCTCAATGAAGTTTTCTAAGTCACTTAAGACTGATGTTATTGGAATATATTTAGCAATATCGCATACAATTTGATAAGTAATGTTTTCAGTTTGGTTAGTTTTAAATCTATAATTCAACTTTTATCTGCTGTTTGACTCAAGGGCTATTAGAAGAATCAATGTTAGAGCTGGCCGGTTAGCTCAGTTGGTTAGAATGCAGGCTTATAACTGCAAGGTCAAGGGTTTGGATCCCCATACTGGCCAGTTCCCCCTCAACCCCCCAAAAAGAATGAATGTTACCTATACAGTTTCTACTTAGTAAAAAAAATTTATTGAGATTTTCTTTTTGTCCTAGAATGTGTATTCAACCTGAATAGACTATGAGCAAAGTCTAGTTTGCTCTTTACAGCTCCATCCTGAAAATAAAGCTCTCTTACTAGCCAGGTTTCCTTCTCTTCCTACCATACCCAAATAAGGGGCTATCTCTGTCAGTATAGTCATTAAGGTTTTCATATCATTTAAACAAACATTGGTATTGAAACCCTGTGGATCATTAAGCCAGCAATTAAGCCAGTGGTCTTTCCCTGCAGCACCATGGTTAGTAACAGCAGGATCAAGGGATCAGTGCTGGAGTGATTCAGAGTTTAAGTTTAGTTCAGGAATCCTTCAGAGAAAATGGTTGAATTTTATTGAAGTGGAGGGAAGCAAATGATTTGCAAGCAAAAAAGAACAAAGAGCCTTCCAGAGAGGAATAGTGAAAGTTACAGAAGGCCAATAATAATAATAATTTATATTTATATATCTGTATTTGCAGACACACGTGTGTATATGTGTGTGCACATGTGTGTGAGGAGTATGTGTTCATTACTAGCTACAAACCCTTTCATAGTCCACTTTTTAAGTATTACAGTAATCCCTTGAGAAGGAATTGTTATTCCTGTTTTGCAGATAGAAACAATGAGGTTTAAAGAGATTAATTAGGTGGAGCCAAATATGGAACTTAGATCTTCCAGCTTGAATTCACTGTTCTTTCTACTGTATCATGCTAAGGGATCAACCCTCTAGAGGCTGCAAAATGTCTTGTCCACAGTACAGTCTCTGGTGAGGATTAGGAGAAGGAAGGAGGGGTCTGGCTATTAAGGTGTCCTCAAATGTGTAACCTCAGTGTTTGTCTCATTTGAGATCCCTGCAGTGAAGTTGAACGAGCTGCTCGAGAACTTTTATGTCACCGTTAAGAAGAGTGACGGTTCAGACTTCCTGGCCACCTCGCTCCATGCCATTCGCCGAGGCCTGGATCGCATCCTGAAGAATGCAGGTGTGGGCTTTTCCATCACGAGCAGCACCTTCAGTTCTTCCACCAAGAAACTCAAGGAGAAGCTGTGGGTGCTGAGCAAGGCAGGGATGTCAGGTGCCCGTTCTCGCAATATCGTCTACTTTTCCCTTTCTGATGAGGAGGAGATGTGGCAGGCTGGGTGTCTAGGGGATGACAGCCCTATCACTCTGCTGTCCACTGTGGTCAAGTACAACAGCCAATACCTGAATATGCGGACGCTGCAGGAGCACGCAGATCTGATGTATGGTGATATTGAGCTGCTCAAAGACCCACAAAACCAGCCCTACTTTGCCCGGACAGACAGTGTCAAGCGGGAGAGTCGGAGCAGTTCCACTAGAGTGTGTCATGGGAAAATCTACCATGAGCATTCCAGGGGACACAAACAGTGCCCTTACTGCCTTCTGTACAAGTACATGTACATCCACCGGCCTCCCACCCAAATGGAAGCCAAGTCTCCTTTCTACCTTACTGCCAGGAAGGAGGCCACAGACATGGGCAGTGTGTGGTACGAGGAGCAGAGGATGGGACTGCGGTCTCTTCGAGGAATTGTCCCAAACTTAGCCAAGAAGGTCAAGCTGGAAAACTGTGAGAACTTTACTTTCGTCTCATTTACTCAGGTCTCCAGGAGGCTTGGCTCCCACAGTTGCTGCCAATGAGCCCTACTGGGTCCAGGCCACTCACTGCCCTGCTCGCCCTCATAGGTGAGAGCTGCGTAGGCAGCCACAGCCAGCTCTGGAAGCAGCCCAGAGCTCCGAGGAAGCAGGGGCCGACCGTGCGTGACTTCCGGCTCAGGCTGCTCTCCATCAGCATGGCCTGCTATTCCTGACTCGCAGTTTGTTTTTTAACTGAAAGTAGATGAATCTGAATAATTTGGATTGTTTTATCCAAATGTGTATCACCTTTGTTAAATGATAGAATCTAACACAATGTATAATTGCTACAGACAAGAGTGAGGAAATTCATTTTATCTAGTGCCTTTTTAGCACAGGTTTTCTCAAAAAGAAAAAAACAAAAAAGGAAACTTTGAGTAGTCATTAAAAAAATCCCGGTAGCCCAGTAGCTTTAGAATGTTATGAAGACTATACACTTTGTTGAATTCCATTCATAATAAGGAATTAGAAAGAGAGAGGCAGACATGTTAACTATTTGCAGGAGAAAAAATGCACTGGACCCCTTTTGTTGATGGATAACTTGGTTCTGCAGAGCAAGCAGCTTCGTTTGAGGGAAGATCCTGGAACTGTACTCAGTCATCTGATAGGAAGGCAGGGGCTGCACTGACTGCTCTCAGCAGTGAAAGGAACTCAGTCTCTGCAGTCAATGGGGACAATTTTATGAGAAAAGATTAACGCACCAAAAGGGTATTTGTGAGAACAAAGTTCCCAGTGAACTAGATGGCTTGTATCATGAGGGCATTTCCACTAGTGAAAGAAAATGGCTTGGGAAAGCCAACTGTGATCAAAATGTGAAACCTCTTGAAGCAGAAGTGCCTACGTTTTATTTCTCAGCACCACGTGACAGCTCTTTTTATTTGAACAGTTTTTAGAGTTTTTATCTGTTCTCTGTGTCATACAGTTGTTCTGTCAGCATAAAGCACTGGATCTGTGAAACAACTAAAGGTAATTTTTAGGCTTAGCCAGGAAAATCCAACAAAACAAGCTGCAAAGAAAACAAATCCCAAAATGTGTTTATTAAAGAGCTTTGAAATATTTTTGTTAAAGTATGACTTTTTCAGCCACAATAGATAACATCATTTTAGGTTGGCACCAATGCTTGGGGACACAATGATTTAAGCAACCTACCAGGTAAGCAAACCCAGCATTAAGGACGTCATTGTAAAATCAGAGCATGATGATAGGTTTTTAATGCAGTTTGAAACTGTTTCACTCAGGTTAACTGACCCCATGTTATTTAAACATCAGCAGAATTTTCTAAAAACTACTCTGAATGCAACAATCAGTGAAAAAGGAGCCCAAAGAGTGCTAATTAATAATAATAATTTCTAGGGATCTTTATTTTGTATTTGAGGAAAAACTGCTGTAACTTTATACCATTATGTTCCTGTGTGTGCTTTCTAAATCCCAAATTAAAATTCCAATACAAATTCATTTGTAGGAGTTTTAAAATGAGTCCTATTTCTTTTTCAAGATATCTTAATATTTATTTTGTTTTTTAAAATCATCCACTGGTCATTGAAATATGTAATACTTCCTTTACCAGAGAAGAATCAACCAATGCTGCCTTAAGGTTTAACGTTGTTCCCCTTTTAGTTACTGCACATTTATAATTTTGTTTACTAGTTGATCTTTCCCGAGTAGAGATTAATTTTGGCATATCTCCATCTATATATAAATAACAGGTAATATTTCATAATCAGTGTTATGACTTGATATCGCATATTGTTCTGTTGTGGTTTCCTGTAGTGATTTGGGGGTTTTGATTAAAAAGAAATAGACACAAAACATTAGGTCCAGTTTCCTTTGGTTTGCTAACATCCAAAGGATATTTTGTTTTAGAAAGCAGATGGCCCTTTTCTTGTCAGTTCTGTACTAAAACTGAAATAAAACCTATGTGAACTATTGGGCAGAGCCTGCAGCTTAATTAAATAAAACCTCCATTTTTATTTTAAATAGATTTGAGAAGAAATTGCCATTAGGAATCACTGGGATCTTTTCAGACTTTAACATTTCCAAAAGTAGCAATAACTGATCCAGAAGTTGTAATCTTGATAGTGGCTTTTCATCAGCTGAATAACCTTCTCTGCCTCAGATTTGTTGCCTATTACCTATTTGATGTGCTATAAATCCCCAGAGTTCTGAAGTGACTGATTATAATAAAATGTCAGGAGGGAAATCTTCAGTGTTATCTGAGGAATGAAAGAACTGTATCTTAGCATCCTAAATGCCGTCCATCACGTGCTTCCTTGGGGAAAGGGAATGAGAAGAAAAACACATTCATCAAGTGTCACCATGTCTCACCCATTGTACTAGGGTGTTTTTTCTATTATGTACTTGTGTATATATATGTATGCATGCACACGCACACATACACACACATTTTAAAATATATATGTGGTAAAGCCTGGTAAACCTGCTAAAATGGCAAAGCACCTATCCATGTGTGGCCTTGGCCGTCCTCAGAGGATCTTCAGGGGGCCAGAGTAACTCGTTCTCATTGGTGTTCAACTAAGGCAATTGTTCTGTCTTTCCAGTCAGCTCTACGTCATACTCACTGGGGACTCCATGATTTTCTGCTCTTGGCCTAAGGCCGGAGAAAGGAGAATCTTAAAGGAAGAGAGGGAGGTTAAGAGCATTTTCTCCACTTACTTTTGGGTTTTTTGTGCTCCAAAGTGGGATTAAATATCAAGAATTTGCCAGTTCACCTAGGCACGGTTGCCTCTGGGCTCTGTGTCGGGAATAGTGGTGCTGTAGGTGTTCAGAGAAGACCCGTGGTGTCCTTTGGGTGAGCTCTTGCCAGCAGCCCCTTCTGTATCTGCTCTAAAGGGAGCCCTGCTTTCTTGCTACTGCCTCCTCAAAATCTAGCAGGCTTCCCTGTTGGCAGTTTATTCTGGAAGAGATAATAGGGCATCAACTTGAAAAGTATGATTCAATTAAGTATAGAGTTTGTTGCAGGACTAGACACATCACAAGCATACAGCAAATGTTAGCTATTTTAATTATAACTTTTGGTAATAATTAGTGTTATTCAACTAATCTGCATTATATCACTTATTTCTTCCATAAAGGAGGTTCACTCTCCCTTAAACTGTTAAACTTGAAAAGGAAACCAGACCAGATAATCATCAAGTTAAATGCATTTACACCCATGAATTCTACCTCCAACACAACCAAGCCCTGATACCTCAGATGTAAGCAAAAACATGTGAAGGAAGAACAGAGAAGTCTTAAGAGGCTTTATTAAAAAGTTTTTCCACAGTTTAGTGTGTGTTTGCAAAAAGGAGTATGGAAGTACCTAATCAAAGCTGTGAAAGAAATGGTGTCCTTGGCCATGTGGCATTTTCTGGCTTTCCTTGGATTTTATGCTGTATTAATCTGCTGACTGATAAATGGTGTTTGAAGAAATGTGAAATTCTGTTACTTTGATCTTTATTTTAATTCAACCTTATTAGAAGCTTCAAGCACTATATACCACTCTCTCATAGACATAGTCATTAGGAGAATCTGGACAAAGAAAACACATGTAGAAACTGAAGCGTCTCTGCTGTAGTCAAAAGCATACTAGACTGGGAGCTACTTCAGTACTGGCTTGGGCACATGCTGGTGTTACATTCCTGAGCTATAAAGTGAGATCAATGAATGGATCATCTCCAGGATGAACAATGTTACACTTGTGCAATACCTCAAGACCATATAGTTAGGAAGTGGCAAAAGTAGGATACAAAGTTCCTAATTCCTCAAGGTCAGATAGTTAATCTCCTAATGTAGTGCTTCTCACTATACTGGGATGCTTTCTTTAGGAATAAGAGTTTTCTTGAATTTTCAGGTTCCACAACTTCTAAAATTATTTTGCTATCTGTAGGCAGCAGAATGTTGATGATTTTTCTTAGTTTAGGCTAACACTGGCCACACTGTTATTACTTAATTAGACTAAACAGAATGTTTAAATATTATCTTTATCAAACAGGCATCACTTTGTTGCTTTTATGAGGTGTGGATTGCTAAAAAATTTTGAGCTAGTAACCAGTTACCTTTTGGCATCAATGAATGCAAGCGATGAAGACCTCAAAGAAAGGTTACCTCATTTTGTCTACCCAAGCCCCAATTTAGTCTAAATTAAGGCCCATACATATTTAGCTGTTAACAGACAGCTCTGAGTAGAATACATTACAAGTTTCAAGTCTGTATATATCTTTAAATGCTTCTGCTTTGGGGGTGAATTTTTAATGCTCTGTGTTAAAAGAAAAATATTCAGTTGTTTAGGCAGTGTTCTAAGGTAAAGATCTTTGTTGTCTTTTTCCCATATAAATGAACCACCTTAATTAAAAGGTAAGGGGTGGTAGGGGGACTGGTGGTGACCTACAGCTACGCTCCCTTTTCGAGAGAAGAGTAGGATGGGGGATGTTAATTAAACTAACATCTCTGGAAATTCCTATATGTGATGTGTGTATTCTGACATCACTGAATTTCCCAAAACTCCTTTGAGGGAGCTGCCCATCCTTCAGGCAAAGTTTGGGCATTATTATTATGACTTTGAGTACGTCTAGTTCTTTACAGTTCATGAAATCCAGAGAAGTTCCCCATGTTTAGTTGTTGATCACAATCAGAGTGTTACACTCAAAGTTCTTTATTATTTATCTAATGCAGCTCATATGGAAGCTCATCATTTCAGGAAAGAAGACCAAAAAAAAATCACTGGATAATATGTAGATGCATATTAGTTTCATTACTATTAAAAACAATTAGATAGATCTCTCTTGCCCATTTAGATGAGAATGGGCTCCTAAATACTTAGTGGTCAATATAACTGATTTGATTAATTTACATTTAACTGTGGTAGTTGTTACATCTACTGATTTCTTCAAATAAAAGTTTCTAGAAGGCTCTGATTTGACTAACACTATGTTTAGTGCATCCTTGCAGCTGCCTCATATTCTCATTTAATTTTCACAACAGGTCTGCAAGTATGTCTAATTATTCTCATTTTACTTATTGAGAAACCAAGGCTCAACGAGGTTAATTTAACTTACGAAGTCTCATGAGTTAGTAAGTTGGAGAATTTCAGTTTGAATGCAGTTCTTCTGGCTCCAAATCCGGTGCTCAGTCCACTAGACAAAACTGCCTCCTTCAGGCCCATAGAGGTCCATTTAACTTTTTAAAAGTTAAACACAGTTTCTGTTTATTTGGGAAATATTCCTTTCTTGAGCAATATAGTGTCACACCTTACATACTCTCTTATTAATTGATTAGTCATTTGGTATAATTTAATAGTTCCCAGAAAGCCTGATGGTTTTCTATGAATGAGCATAACATTTTCTGCCTACTGAGACCCTTCTGTCTTTTTCCAATTTATATTACATATTATCTAACTTAAGAGGCAGGTGATCATGGCAATTTATTCTAATAAAAGTCAAATAGCTTATAAACTGCACCTGTTTTGACATTGGAATCATTGCTTAAAATGTAAAGGAGTTTCCTCATCTATGTCACTGTTGCATGCTCAGGTTTTTTTACTTTTGCTTTTTAATTTTGGTGTCAGGATTTTTATAATCTTTAGACTGAAGTACTCTCCTAGCAAAGTTAAGTAAATAAGTATTTATACAGTCATTTGTTTCTGTTCTTTCTTTTATCAGGACATACTTATTTTCTCTTTTGGGACTTAAAAAACAATAGGTCATGGGTAACTCTGAGATCATCTAGTCAAATTCTCTCATTTTACCAATAAGGAAATTAAAACCCAGAGATATTAAAGGGTCCGTCCAAGGCTAGCCATACAATAAGTAGTAGATTCAGGACTAGAAAATTAGTCCAGAACTCTTTCTTCCATATCATAGCTGGGAAGATGTGGATTTTAAAAAATTAATTAATAGAACTGCATCTGACAAAATGACATCTGGCTATCAGCAGCCCCTAATGAGCCTCTCCCACCTTCCCAGAAAAACACTTATAAAGACTCCACAGAAGGCCAAATCTCAATTCTAGAATCTAGAAGGAATTGACATAATTTATGAGGCATAGAGAGGTGGATTGGGGCAAAGCCATTTGGATTGTAGCTCAATCCTTGGCTTTACTTCATGAGACAGAGGACTGTGAAGTTAAAATTTTGAAAGCTGTTTAGCACTTGTCTTTCCCAACCATATCTGTCTCCTTACTCAGGGTCAGAGCTCCGGAGCCAGAGAAACAACTGGCCGATCCTCTTAACACATGCTGCGCGGTGAACAGAAAAGTTTCTCTATCTACCCACCCGCCCCCTTCCTTCTCTTTACTCCACCTCCCCTTCATTCAGTCCAAGACTCCAAATCCTACAGCTAAAACATGAGCAGAACGCAGAGAGGGACTGTAAGATGCAGAGTGTACTCTGAAAATAAAGCCCTTTAGGTGAAGGCAGAAACAGTAAATAACTGAGTAGCAGAAGATGTAAATAGTATGATTTTTCATGTATTATGTTGGTTCAGAGATCCAGAAAGCCAGGCAATAGGACAGAAAAGGATGCTACTTCAATAGAAAAGTGGTAAACTAGAAATTGGACTTGGAAATATACATATCACCTTACCATCGACCTGGGATTTGACACTCAAGTGGATGGGGTCTGGGGCGAAGGGACCACATTTAAGGATGAGTATAGAGAAAAAAGCAAAATGAAGTATATAAAAAAATGTGACTGGACCAAGGAAGATGAACAGCTTCCAGAACACTCTTGAAAATGAAAGTGATATTCTCTTCCAGTGGGTGCCCAAAATAAAAATGAAAGTGATCTACTGCAGGAACCAAAATTTTAGAATTCTTCATCATAATTGAAAGACCAGAATTGCTTCTATGCAGCGATAGTAAGTTATCTTAAAATGGAAATGGGGTAAGAGAAAAAGACAATAGGATAAGATGGAAAAGAAAACAGATTAGAAAGAAGGATTTCAAGGAAGCTAAAAACACAATAGCAGACTAAAATCCACATTAGAAGCAGAAAGAACAATGTTGATGCTTCAAAAACTCAAATCAGTAATGTGAAGGAAGGAAAAATTTGAGATATTTCTTTCTAATGTTTTTTCAAAAGAAACAAATGAAAATAAATTGGGGAAAGAATGGATCTGGAAGACATAGCAGGAGCTAACATTTCTGACATTTGCTTTTCTGATGGAAAGACTATCTTGACAAAAAATACTTTCAGACTATAAAAATGAAATCTTTCCTGAACAGAATGAAAATCTGTATTGAAAAGACTCACTGCATTCCAGCCCCCCCACCCGAAAAAAAAAGTGTAAGAGACCAGCAACTAAGCACCTCTTGGCAAAAATGTTACACTACCAGGAATAGAGAGTGACAAATCCTGCAGGCATCCAGTTAGAAAGTAAGTGGCCTATAAGAAAACAAAAGAGCATTCTGGCCTCAGACTTCTACTCTATAGCACCAAACACCAGGAAACAATAGGAAGTTTTGAGGGGAAAAGTTGTGACTCTGGGATTTTAAACACATTTTGTAGGTTAAGATACACAAGCATACTTCAAAAAGTTCGTGGAAAAATAGAATTGAAAGATAGTACTAATCTTTCCATGAACTTGTTGAAGTACCCTCATAGAATATTTTTAGTTATGACAAGTATCCAGGAAATACACCAGCTATGTACTATTATAAAGATAATAAGTTGTACAGCAACCTACAAAGTGTGGTTTAAATAAAATAATTTTTGTTTAATGTCACAATTCCAAGGGACTCTGGTATATTAAACATCAGGTCACTATCCACTAGAAGAAGGGTATGTATGCTTGTAAATAGATAATATAGCTAGAAGCTACATATCTAAAAGTCCCTATGAACTGGCTAAATTAATATAAGATGTACCTAAAAATAATCGCCATACCACAGCATCATGTTTCTTCATTTTTATTACTGAAATAATGCATGATAATTATAGTATAAATAGAAAATTCAGATAATTTTTTGACAATTAAATATAAGTTGCTCTCAGTTTTCCCCAGCACCATTTTTTCCCTTTTTTCTTTTTATTGAAACATAATTGAGTGTGTATATTTGTCCTGAGCACCATTTAAAACATTGCTTCCAAGTGAAAAGATGCCAGAGGTCCCCAGCTTTTTTTTTTTTTTTTAAAAGATGACCGGTAAGGGGATCTCAACCCTTGGCCTGGTGTCAGCACCACGCTCAGCCAGTGAGCAAACCGGCCATCCCTATATAGGATCCGAACCCGCGGCCTTGGTGTTATCAACACCACACTCTACTGAGTGAGCCACGGGCCAGCCCAAGAGGTCCCCAGCTTTGTTCTGGGGTGTGATCGCCTAGACTAGAGCGTGTTGACTCCACTCTCCTCAAACTCAGAACTAACAACAGGTACAAAACTAGAAAACTACAGAATACGGTGTTATGTCTGTGTTTTAAAAGGGATCAGGAAAAAATGAAACT